AACCGTTTTAAAAACGTCAGGAAACAATCAGAAGTGGCTCACTGACAGGCGTGTCGTGATTTCCGTGTTGTTAACCGCTTTAGTAAAACAAAAGACAGGTGTGTCGTCGAATCTTACTATCAACGTTTTGTCTACCAATTATTTTAAGCATGATAACTCAAAACTACTGGACTGGACACCTTAACTACTCCACTTCTTAGGCTAGAACACAGTTTCGTTTTACAACTAAGTCTGTTTAAACTAACGGGGAAAAATAAACACCGCATGTAGACTGTTAAATTAACCAGTAAAAATGCTGACAGCGGTGCACATTTGTAGCTGTTTGGTGAGTGTGTTGGATTGGTTGACCATAAGAACGTGGCGATTTGGTTACATCCAGTGTGTTTATTCAAACTTAATTGCGCGTATTTCTTGTCTTACTTTCGTTACTAATGTCGATTATGTGTGCGAATTAGAGGCTTACAAGTGAGAGTTGCACAAATGCTATTAAATCCATACAAGTGTTGTGTTTGAGTATGGAGTTGACTTAGGCGAGTAGCCTGTCATTTTCAAATAGAGGACATGGATTCGCATATTCCTGTTTGAACTTCGGATGTGGAGTGCAAGCACTTCTGAATAACACGATGTAAATTACAAATAGCATCGCTGTGCTAATGATTTCTTTGTGCAGGTGCATTGCTTTATTTCAGAACAGCACCCATACGTGGTTCCACGGACCACGTGCCTTTTCAGTACAAACTCGGAATCCCTTCTACTTATCCCGAATTCAGACCGGTATGTTGCCTCGTTTTCATCTGAATTCATCAAAACCAGCTACGGGCATATTAGAAGCCGGCAGTGTTTGTTTTCGGAGCCAGAATTGCTCGCTAAAATGCCACCAAATAACGAAAGATGCTAGATTTGAATTCAGATCATACCACCAATGCATAAAAGCCATTAATAATTAAGCTAGAATTCAGCAATATGATGTCTGTGAAATTCCGTGCTACTAGCTTATCTCTAACAACGTGGCGTTTCCTGGTGTCGTTCTAGGCACCACCGCTGTTCGAAGCGCCCTCCTACCACACGGCGTACGATTCTGTAACCATGGCAACGAATTTCACTGATCCGCCTTGCAGTTCCGACGGCAGTGTGCTGCCGCTGCACCGTCTCCTCGTCCGCCTGCACTTCCACCTCGCGCTCAGCTTCTCAAGTGCGCGGCGCCTGCCAATTCATCCGGTCCGCAAGGCGACGACCTTGAAGGAGGCGTGGGATGTCCTCGTTAGTGAGGCTCAGCAGCGCTATCCTGATCTTGAGGAGCACTATGGTATCAAACTGGGTGAGTTGTGCCTTTCTCAACCGTCTTGTGCTCAAATTCACCAGGCTTCCTCTCGTCTAGCCTATTCTAATCACGTGCAGTATTGAATCACCTGTAGGAATCAGCAAAGCCATACGAGGACTATAGTGAACAGTCAGGGCAGGACAATCGAGGCAGCTTTGCCTCAAGCTGACTGGTTCTGGCGCTCTTCCTGAATTTTTATTGGTCTCTGCCCCAAAGCATCCCAAAAACAACTCTACGCTTACCTACATATTAGTGCTCTCTTCCATTTGGTGTAGTTGCATCATCACGATAGTGTCTGGTCTTGGGTTCAGTGAGCAACTCGTCCACTTCAACTCCTTAAACTGCATGACGTTTTCTCACTGTAGCGCCCTGAAGAGCTTCCTGCGACTTCTCCAATTTTTACACTTGGAAAAGTTGGCTGTTTATGCCTAGTTCCCTCGAAAGGTGCAAATCAACTCGACGCCAAAGGGGTTTACTTTAATTTCCAAAAATAAGCTAAGCGTGAAGACGTTACAACTTGACAAACTTGGATTTGAGCCGTCCTGAGGAAACCATTAGTTGAAAATCGAAATTGGGAGAAATGCTTGTTCGGTGGCCAATTCGACGATCAAGTCTGATTTAACTTTTTCTTTCGAGAATCGTTGTGCTGTTTTGCGCGCCAGAAGTCTGTCTATGGCGTCATCCTAAAGCACATCACGAGTGTCCGCAACCAAATCTGAAGCATAATCGTGCCAGATCCTCTTTCTTACATTAATAGCTTAATCATTTGGCAACTGGCAGAGGGTATTGTCAATGTAGGGGTGTCTGACTAGATATATTTACATGTGGTTCGCACATGCACCTGACACTCCCTGACTAATTGTATTTAATTATTCGTTATTTCTATTGGTCATCTGATTTCAAACGTGCCAATCGCTGGTCCTGTTATGCGAAGCTATTGTTCATTTGATGTTTTCGCATTCTACCTTCTCTTTCCTTTGTGATTTCCTATTTGCAGAGTACGTTACAAAAAGAATCGACGATTTCCTGAATGCGTCAAGAAACTTTGAAAACTTTGTTGGAAACCTTCATGGCTCAGACATGAGGTTAGTTTTGAGTACCTAATTTTTTCGCGCTCTCTGGGTCTGTAGTATTCTCATGCCTAATTAGAATTAAACAATCAAGCTTATTCTGAATAGTGGATTTAATGGAGTTCAAATGTTTCAGGTGTTTCCACATATACAACGATATACTGGGGCGTCTCTCGAAGCAGTTCATCTCCAACGTAGACGCCAAATCACCGAGACACGTTCTTGTGGACACCGCCTACACGCAGTCTCATGCCGCGAGCTACTTCCCCAGGATACGCACACTGCTGCATCAACTGGAACTAGGTGAAGACAGGGACGTGCGGACAATGTTGAAGTCTCTCAAGGTGGAACTCTCTGCCCTTGTGACCGCCTTCAACGCAGCTTCGACACTGCTGCGCGGTGGACTGTTTGGATCTCTTGACGCCTACCACGCCCACTTGTGCTACTAGATGTACATTTACCACATTCACAATCAACAGACCTACTCAATCACAAAGAAGCCCTGATTGCACTCCTAAAATTTAGCTTATATTTTTTTTCTGAACGTAATAGTAAGACGCAATTCACAGAAAATGAAACACGGTGAAAGCATATACAATAAAAAGAAGTGCGAAAAAAAGAAAGCGAAACCAAAACCCTTCAGTTCAAAAAACAGATTCGCAGTGTGGCGCATGCTGCAAGCTTAGCACTTGTGAATTGGCATGATTAAATTAAACTAACTTAATGATATTGGTTCGATGATTAATCCCCAGGTGAGTGGTGTTAGTAACGAGAGGGGAAGCAGGTCGTGGAGGCTTGAGAATACAAAGGTGAGAAAAGGAACACGAGTATTCTGAGGGCGCAGTTAACTCCTTTTGTGGAGTGATGCTATCTGCAGTTATCCATGCATGAAGACCAGCCTGCTTACGTGCTCAGTTATATCCGTCCTATCACAATAGTCAACATTAAGCAGCGAATTTCTCCTGAATCAACATTCATGGACTTGTGGCTAGGCTGTAATAAAAGTGGCCCGGTTGTGATGGTGACTGCGGT